CCACCGGGTAATATGCGGGTATCATCAGGTGATTGGACAGAGCTGTGAGGACCTCCATATAACCCCTCCCAGGAATCCCCGGTGCGTGGATGACGCATCTCCCATGGTAACAGCTGGAGACGTTTGGCGCTTTTGTCCTGTGCCTCGATTGGCTGACACGTTACCTCGGCTCTCTACGGCCTTCTGTCAGCCCAGATTCATCTTCCTGAGGCCTAAATACTGCCGGCAGAACCGATGGGGAGGACCTGGACCCAGCAGAAGGCCTCGGTGACATCACCCCTCAGCTGACTGCCGCCAAATCAAAACCTGGAACCCCGATGCAAGGCCTGGACCCCTAACTCACCCCAAGCCCGGCTCCACCCCCCCATGTTGGCCTTGAGGCATCCAGGTTCTCTGGGTTCAGTCCCAGGATTTGATCCCTGCCCCCGTCCTCCTACCCACAGAGCGTTTCATATCCAGTGCTGGGAAGTCCTTAGGGCGCTGGTTCTCAACCTTTCTAGGGCCCCCTGGTAACATTTGCCAAGTTGCGGTGACCCCCAAACGGTAAAATTTAGGGATGACGCGGCTGCTGCAGCGACATCTGGCGGCGCGGCGGGAGAACGGACACTGCTGCGCTAGGAGAGGGCTGAGCACAGCGACCCCCGCAGGCTGAGAACCGCTGCTATAGGCCCCATTCACACTGCGCCATTCGCAAATCGCGCATTTGTCAAATGGTTGCATTGAGCAAGCGAGAATCGCGGCAAAATCCGCTCCAAAAAGGGTCCCTGCTGTAGCGACGCACGACCCATGACAGCGACGCACGACCCGCGACAGCGACACACAGAGCCCCATTGAGAAGCATTGCAGCGCGATAAATCGCTCAGTGTGAACGCGGCCTCAAGGTTACCGATGACCATGGACACCAGCCTGTTATTATTGACGGTACCCTTGGTCAGGGAGGGAATCCAGACGGTGCATCCGGTGCAGTTGTATGTTCTGAGATGTGTGCTGGCAGCCCATTAACACGCGTGTGATGACACATAGTATGAAAAGGCTTTTGTTCTAAATATGTCTTCCCGCAGCCGGGTATCAGTATGGGGGAGAACGGGCCGTGCGAGGAGTATTAGGAGTGAGGTGGATGATGGGAGGAGTATTAGGAGTAAGGTGGATGATGGGAGGAGTATTAGGAGTAAGGTGGATGATGGGAGGAGTATTAGGAGTGAGGTGGATGATGGGAGTAGGGGAGTAGTATTAGGAGTGAGGTGGATGATGGGAGTAGTATTAGGAGTGAGGTGGATGATGGGAGTAGTGGAGGAGTATTAGGAGTGAGGTGGATGAGGGGAGGAGTGGAGGAGTATTAGGAGTGAGGTGGATGATGGGAGTAGTGGAGGAGTATTAGGAGTGAGGTGGGGGAGGAGGGTTGTTATAACATTCACACATGTCAATGTCTCCCCTGATGGGTTTGGGGTGATTAGGGACTGACTGTGTCTTTGCTTGCAGGAGGAGAGCGAGGAGGAAGAGGAGGAGTCAGATTAATGTTTGCAGGAAGAGGAGGAGTCAGATGAATGCCCGCCTCTATGTCCAGTCTATGAGGAGGATCCCGGCACGGTGTCCGTTCTGCACTGTACAGATGTTCTGTTTCTTTACAGCGGCCAATCACAGCCGACGTTTCATGTTATAATCTTCCTTGGCGACCGGAGAAGCTGATTGGTTGCTAGGATGGAAATCTGGTCATACGTGTCCAACATACGATACATTCTAATGTACAGATCACATGTGTGACACGGAGAGTTCTGAGGGTCACGCATTCTCAGTACTACACATGTATAGTTCACGTGTTCTGTTATGTGTATTGTCAGTGTTTGGAGGACAATAAAGTTATTGATTTGTGAATACAATGTTTTATGGGCCGATCATCCTTACCTCATCGTCCTCCATGCGGCCCATCATCCTTACCTCATCCTCCTCCATGCGGCCCATCATCCTTACCTCATCCTCCTCCATGCGGCCCATCATCCTTACCTCATCCTCCTCCATGCGGCCCATCATCCTTACCTCATCCTCCTCCATGCGGCCCATCATCCTTACCTCATCCTCCTCCATGCGACCCATCATCCTTACCTCATCCTCCTCCATGCGACCCATCATCCTTACCTCATCCTCCTCCATGCGGCCCATCATCCTTACCTCATCGTCCTCCATGCGGCTCCGCCCAGAGATGATTTGTTTCTATTATTATAAAATACTCGGACGCAGCGTCACATAAGTTGCGTCAGAATAAAGCGGAACGCACAATGCTCTGCGATCGTACCGGAGCAGTCAGCATTGCGGTGCGTTCCAGTGCCGGGCGATCACTGCGGGTGGGAGGAGCTTATGGGGTCCATTGAAGTAAATGAAAGCTCCTCCCACAATAGAATTTGTCGGCCGAAACTAAAAATGACTTTTCCCACCTTGTTATATTTTGTAATAATTGTGATCACATGATGCAGGTAGTGGGCGGGGCCAATAGCAGGCTGGTTATTGCACCCGCCCACTGCTTGCTGTGCCCGCCTCCCAGCGTGGAGAAGAGAGCTCGGGGATCCAACCAACTAATCTATAACCGACAACTATTATAACTGATTAGTTGGTTGCAGCCCGAGCTTCAGTTGTCAGCGGATCTCCGAGCAGAACCGTCCATGGTACCGCCCACCAGCCAATCAGGTTGCAGCTTTCATGTGATCATGGATGACACGGTGTCTGATGATTGACAGCTCTGCTGAATATGTTTATTATGGGAATCTGTGGGGGAGGGGAACATTCGCCGGCTCTCGGTGAGATTTGCCGTTCCTGGTGGAGTTGGTGCGCTGGAGCAGCAGGTCGCACTTCTTGTAGGTGGTGTACAGCAGGAGGATGAAGTACAATAACTGGCGGCATATCCTGAGGGCCAGCCGCATATCCACGGCACCCCGCGCCGGCGCCTCCAGGGACAGCCTGCTGACCACTCTGCTGAACACGGACTTCCCGGACACGTGGAGGTTCCCGCTCCATTTTGGTGGCTGCACCGTGATCATGTGACCAAACACCGCGTCCAGCCCGCGCAGCGATATTGGCCGCGGCGCCGCCAGCACATCCCGTGCGTGCCGCGCCACCTTCCTGTTTCTGATGTAAGCTGCCAGGTCAAAGGTCAATCTGCGTCCCGGGAGCCTCCTGCCCAGAAGTCGGCACAGTTCCAGCTCGGCTTTCTCGGAGACGTTCATCACGCCGCGGTACGGTTTGGGCTTCGGCGCCGCGTGTCTCAGCCACTGTAAGCTTTCATCAAGCCGAGTCCATGGCGCCCAGAGCTGGTACATCTCCATCCCGCTATCTGCTGCAAGAGAGAGAGAGGAACGTCCGTACAATGGAGGAGGGGGAGGGAACCGGAGCTGGTACATCTCCATCCCGCTATCTGCCAGAGAGAGAGAGGAACGTCCGTACAATGGGGGAGGGGACCGGAGCTGGTACATCTCCATCCCGCTATCTGCCAGAGAGGGGAACGCCCGTACAATGGGGGAGGGGACCGGAGCCGGTACATCTCTATCCCGCTATCTGCCAGAGAGAGATGAACGTCCGTACAATGGGGGAGGGGACCGGAGCTGGTACATCTCCATCCCGCTATCTGCCAGAGAGAGAGGGGAACGTCTGTACAATGGGGGAGGGGACCGGAGCTGGTACAGGGTGCCGAAATCTGGATTAAATCCGGGGCCCAATCTACTCGTCCGGATACAAGAAATAACAAAACCTGATTGGCTGATGGGAACTAGAAATCTACAACTCCTGGCAGAGGGGGTAGGGTAGTACCTGGCAGAGGGGGGTAGTACCTAGCAGAGGGGGGTAGTACCTAGCAGAGGGGGGTAGTACCTAGCAGAGGGGGGTAGTACCTAGCAGAGGGGGGTAGTACCTAGCAGAGGGGGGTAGTACCTAGCAGAGGGGGGTAGTACCTAGCAGAGGGGGGTAGTACCTAGCAGAGGGGGGTAGTACCTAGCAGAGGGGGGTAGTACCTAGCAGAGGGGGGTAGTACCTAGCAGAGGGGGGTAGTACCTAGCAGAGGGGGGTAGTACCTAGCAGAGGGGGGTAGTACCTAGCAGAGGGGGGTAGTACCTAGCAGAGGGGGGTAGTACCTAGCAGAGGGGGGTAGTACCTAGCAGAGGGGGGTAGTACCTAGCAGAGGGGGGTAGTACCTAGCAGAGGGGGGTAGTACCTAGCAGAGGGGGGTAGTACCTAGCAGAGGGGGGTAGTACCTAGCAGAGGGGGGTAGTACCTAGCAGAGGGGGGTAGTACCTAGCAGAGGGGGGTAGTACCTAGCAGAGGGGGGTAGTACCTAGCAGAGGGGGGTAGTACCTAGCAGAGGGGGGTAGTACCTAGCAGAGGGGGGTAGTACCTAGCAGAGGGGGGTAGTACCTAGCAGAGGGGGGTAGTACCTAGCAGAGGGGGGTAGTACCTAGCAGAGGGGGGTAGTACCTAGCAGAGGGGGGTAGTACCTAGCAGAGGGGGGTAGTACCTAGCAGAGGGGGGTAGTACCTAGCAGAGGGGGTAGGGTAGTACCTGGCAGAGGGGGGTAGTACCTGGCAGAGGGGGTAGTACCTGGTGGTGCGGTAGGACTCGGCTGTCTCCTGTGTGTAGCAGTCAGTTGGAGGTGAGAAACCGTTATTCCCGGATGACAGTTTTGGGATCGGCGGCCCGGAGACGACTCTACATACATGTCGCTCTGTATGAGCTCCATGGGGTAGGTGTGGCCTGTGGGGTGGGTGTGGCCTGTGGAAGGGTTGTCACTGATAGAAGTTTCCTCCTAGGTCTGGGACATGCAGTACATGTGTCATGTGGATACTCTGCGTGTCCTGAAATCAATCTCTGTGAAGAACGTCTCATCGCTGGTCATGTGACTTGTTGAGGCAACACACCGTTGTTATGGAAATTCGCTTGGTTCAACGCACAAATCCATGCGGCACTAAACTGCGCCAAAGTATGCCGCCGAACACACAGAATTTCCCCCGCGTGTATGACGCTCTCCTGTGCGAGGACCGGAGGGACCTCTGTAGAGACAGGAGACGGGTGTTGCTTGCTAGTTCCAGGTATGTGTTTATTTTTATAGCTGCCCAACAGGAAGTGATGTCAGACAGGAAGTGATGTCAGACAGGAAGTGATGTCTCACACCGCAAACCAGGAAGTGATTTCAACAACCAACATCACTTCCTCACCATATCGTCTCCAATTACCACCGGAGTGACTTTATCCAGCGCGGCTCAGTGATCAATGCCCAGTAGCGGTACTAGGATCCTCATGCGCGCTGATTCACAGGGACAACGTCATATCATCTCCAGCGGGTGATCAGACGCACCACAGACAAACGCACGTTCCTTTCATATACTGCATTCAAAACAAATGTATCCACGCAAGCCAATAAATCCATGCATTGCACGGGGGCCCCAGCCGGCGTCCATACATTCACCAAGAAGACACTGCTCCGCCGCGCATAAGATGTTTACTCTTAGTGGGGATTTAAACCGGGTCCAATGGAGCGTGACGCAGAAATCCGCAGAGACATGATGACAATATTACACTAAAAACACATCCTAGTAACATGTCCACAACACCGTCCGCGTGGTATACGCTCTGAGTCACTGTAGAGGTCGCGCTCCGTGATGTGTCTGCAGTTTCCTGTGTAGCTGCCTCTCGCTTTCTCGACCGAACTTTCCTTTGTCATGTGACCGGTGATAACACACTCTGCTCTCTATGTTCTGCTTTGCGCTCCCATGCACCTTTGTTGTATTGCCGTGTTAGTTCCTGCTCAGGTCTGGTCTCTGGAGCGCTAATAAGAGCGATGTATGACTCTGGGAGGCTGCATAGCGGTAATGTCACCACCCGGTTATCTTTAATGTCCTCTCCAATTACACGGAGCTGTTCTATGATCTCCAGCATGACACTCGCATGTTCTATGATCTCCAGCATGACACTCGCATGTTCTATGATCTCCAGCATGACACTCGCATGTGTGGGAGGAGTCACCGATAGATATCCCTGTGATTGGAGGACGATGGTTGGAGTAGTGGGAGGAGTCACCGATAGATATCCCTGTGATTGGAGGACGATGGTCGGAGAAGTGGGAGGAGTCACTGATAGATATCCCTGTGATTGGAGGACGATGGTCGGAGAAGTGGGAGGAGTCACTGATAGATATCCCTGTGATTGGAGGACGGAAGATGATGGGAGGAATTACCGATAGATATCCCTGTGATCGGAGGACAGTGGGAGGAGTCACCGATAGATATCCCTGTGATTGGAGGACGATGGTTGGAGTAGTGGGAGGAGTCACCGATAGATATCCCTGTGATTGGAGGAGGATTGTGGGTGATCTGTAATGAGGGAGATGATGGCGGAGGTATGGAGGCCGTGTGTGATAGAAAGAGAGGAGGACGGATGTACGGAGATTATCACTCAGCGGATTATAACACCTTTTATTATACAGCAATGAATGTCTCGGCGGGCAGGACTAAGTGGCAGGGGTCCTCTCCATGCCCCCCCCATACATGTCACGCTTCTACTGCTGCAGCTGGCGGAGTGGCACTGGGGGGGAGGGGCGGCATGAGGGAGCTGCGGGCCCTTTTCTTCCTCTCTGGGGCCCGGCTGGGTGATTTGCAGTGTCCTCCTCAGTGCCTTCCAGGGACTATTTATACACACAGCTGGCGCCTCCTCTACGATAAGCCCCGCCTCCAGCACCCGCCCGCCACGTGATCTACGCTGTCTATGCTCTTTTCCCAAAAAGAAATGGCGGTGTTCTATCGAAAGTTCCAACTTATCGAGTTCTCCAACTGCCTGATTTCCGGTTTAGTGAGAACTTACAGGTTTGGGCTAGAAAGCTCTTCTGCACGAGCGCCCCCCGCGGCATTTCCCTTTATCTCCATGGAAACCTACGATGACTCGACATGAAACCCGCCTCTTCCTGTGAGCCTGCGCTGTGATTGGCTGGGCTGGTTGTTCATGCTAAAAGCCATTCTAGGTAAATGGCGGAGTGACAGCCGCGGCTACCAATCAGCAGAGGGCACGGCGGCCAATCAGAGCCTCAGTTGAGTCAATCAAGGGGACCCGGCAGGAGAAGGCTGAGAGCGGGTCCGGTGAGTTGTATTGTTTCATCAGCGACCCGTCATCTCCATCCCCTGTGTGTGTACAGAGCCCGGCATCATCATCATCCCCTGTGTGTGTGTACAGAGCCCGGCATCATCATCATCCCCTGTGTGTGTGTACAGAGCCCGGCATCATCATCTCCATCCCCTGTGTGTGTACAGAGCCCGGCATCATCATCATCTCCATCCCCTGTGTGTGTACAGAGCCCGGCATCATCATCTCCATCCCCTGTGTGTGTACAGAGCCCGGCATCATCATCATCTCCATCCCCTGTGTGTGT